CATCCTATCGATGTTTTGGACTGTAATTGATCAGTATCTAATTGGGATGTGTGCATTCTGTTCAGATTGCCTTGATATTGCCTTAAGTCCCAAGAGTTGAAAGCTGAAATGATGGTGGCTAACAGGAAAATCCAGGACGCGCGTTTAGTCCTATTTGGTACTCGTTATCTAGATGTGCCTGCATCGTAGAGTTGATGTTTACTTCGGGACATGAAGCCAGTACCGTTCGTTTCAAACATCGTCGTGTTATCCATTTAACTACTGAATCTAGATATCCACTAGCCTGTGCGATGGGGTCCGAGTCCCGCAGTGAACATCAACTCTGGGATTCAGGTACATCCAGTCAACGAATCCCAAATAGGATGAAACTCGCGTCCTGGATTCCACTAACAGCTACCATCCATCTTAGCTTATAAATCAAGATTTTATTCAACCTATAAAAACATTAAGATTCCACTGGTTTGTGATGATGATTAGTTACTGAACATCATACACTAGTAATGGTGGAAATATGCAGATGAATTTCATACTGAATTACAACAAATGAGTAATTCATGTTATATTAAATACATATTACATTGAATTAAAAGTAATGCAATTAATATACTGAATATATATATCACACTAAATCTAAACATGATCTCATGCCTTAGACTGTGCTGACAATGATCATGGGTGAATATAATTAATGAATTCTAGTCAATTTTTCGATCAGATTAAACCTTATTATATATTACATCTTGCGTAGTTTACAGCTGATCAATATTCAACGAACTTATAGAATATAAAATAAATTTATTGCGTAATAATAAATAACTTTTTTGTAAATAGGGGAAACTTCCATTACACAATAAGTTGATTGAATGTATATGTATCATAACAGTTAATATCATATCCACTTTTACTATTATTAGTTTAAGGTTATCAGCTATACAAGCCCGGATATGAAAGAACAGATCATTGGTTGTAGCACTCTATTCAATTTTTCTATAACAGTTTTAAATTCTACACTCATTCATTTCAGTTTGGGTTAGTTAAATAGTAGCATAGGTAATCACATAAGCAGTGTGGATTTTAGCTGAGCATATGAACCAACATTTATTTAAATCAGTTTAGGTTTTGTGGTGATTGTTAAGTTTTTGATTGAAATCATGAGTCAATTGAAGCTAGACCACCACGGAAAACGTCGAAGTACTGGACGGCTGTTTCGCCCTAGTATGGGACTCCTCAACAGTGCGCATCCACAATCCCGCACCCCACGAGATTCGGACCCAGGACCTATCAGTCTCGCGCCAGGCGTTTAACCAACTAGACCACTGAGCCGACATCCAATGGTGTTAATGTCTAACCTCAAACAACCCACGAAACTGCGCGACAATCTTCCATTGTACTGAGGTAGACATCTGTTTCTACCCGAGTAACATTTTGTTGATTATTTGTCTGATGGACATAAATCCTACTTTGCCTGGAACTTGAATCCGGGAATAATGTCCTTAGTTCCCATTGATAAGTTGTCGGTACATTCAGTTGTTATACTTCAAAAAAGTTTATAATGTTATTCGGATTTTATTTTAATTTCTCATTGGTCAACATAGAACAACTATTGTAATACTGGTCTTAATTAAATATTGATTTAAAATAATCAATTTAGTTTATTTTGAAACACTCTTTAATGACTTCTTGACATAGTTCTAAGGATTTTAGACTCTAACAAAGATTACACTTAAGCGAAATTTCTTTTAGTTCTGGAACTTTAGAGGTACGATAGCAATTCCAATATTGAAACTCAATTTATAACCGGGTCGTGCTGAGCCAAGGAAATTGTTGAGGGATAATCTGTCAATATATATATTTTTATTATGTGATTGATCTGCATAAAGACTTTCCGTATAGATATTTCTTTCTAACGAGTTTCAGGTGTTGATGAAGTGTACTTTAAACAACTTCTTCAAGTAGAATCTGTTTTGGTATGGTCAGATGAAAGTGAAATGATGGCTTACATAACCTTGTCAATTTGAACCTGTTTCTAATGTATTTCGCATGTCCATCTCCATATATCAGATGAAAGTTGAATTATAATACGCCTAAATTACTAATTGGTTGCTACAATTTCTAAAATGTTTTGTCATACTCCTGTGATGATTTGTATTTTGGTAGTTTTTTGAAGTGTCGGTTAATTTCTATTCGACGAATGAACTAGTGAATACATTTACAGTCAGCAGCAAAATAAAGAAGAGTTTATTCCCCATAAACCCGATTCAACTAATATACAGTTTATTCTTCAAGGTGGTGTATGACAAATAATGACAGTACTACTATTATTTGGCTTCCTGATATAGTAATGAAAATGAACATTTTGTGTGCAGTATCTACACTGCTTGGACTGAGAATTACTTGAGCCAAAACAAGGGAAGAAGAATACTAGATTATTTTTTGTATACTGTTTTATGGTCAGTGTTATGTTCTTATAGCCCTGTCAATTATCACGCGACTAAATCGCCAATCAAAACAACGACTTATACGATTCTGGCCCTGTACCAAACCAATAACGCGTTAACCAGCCTAGAGTTAATTCTGAGTCCTTATTGACTCTTCTTGCCATACCCTGCCTGTTGAGTCCAGAACACAATTTCAACTCCCGCTGTATGAACCATGTATTTCAGACATAAATATTTATCAAAACTTGTAATAAAGTCATATTTATAAAAGATGATAAATAGTTGAGTAGAAATTGTGCTGATTTGAAGTCATCGGTAGAATTTCAGGTCTTTAGTCTTAATGAACTATATTACATGAACTACTAGTTTGGACGAACTGTAAAAGTGTGTTAGTGTTCATAAGGAACTGACATAATTTTTAGAATTATTGGATAAGAAAAACTGTATACCTACATAATCCTGGTATTAGACTCTTTAACAGTGTGCACTAACGAATACACTATGGATCAAACCAAGAACACTTATGTTTTACAATAAGCGCGTCAATTTTAAATCAATAGAATGAAATAAGAAAGTCCATTTGAGATATATATCAATAGACAAAATATGTGGTCCTTATGATCTATATGGAAAATAAACTTAACTAAAAAGCTAGCTTATTTATCAACGGTAGGCGATTACTGGCTAACATTATAGATGTATATTTGAATTTAATTACATCATGGTTTATCCTCGTTAACCAACGACTAAGTGATGCAACCATAATGTAGAATACAATAAACATGTACTATGCTACTGAAATAAGTTGAAGAAGTGAAGTAACTTGAAAGCTTAAAATAAGTTGTCATTTAAAAATCCGACTAAGAAATATTTTTCTTAACTTGTTTGAATAAATGAGAACCTGAAAGGTGAACAGGTAGATCTTGTTACTTTGATTAAGTGTGAAATTAAAATTAAATTTTAAGCAGAACGTTTAACTTAAGGTATTCCCGTAGCTTTTACTCTGATTAGTCGCATTTTTGAGTATAAAATTAGACACCATCATTATTAAGAAATGAAGTCTGAGCAACACTGGTTCCAAATTTAATACTGATAATTCACTGATTAAAGTTCAAGGTTAGTTTTTAGAACAGATAACCTTATCTTCGAAGATATCCTAAGTGAATATCAATAATAAACATGGCTCTATTTAATACAGAACAAATTTTATAATGTGGAATTTTTCAGAAGCCGATATTACCAACAAATCTGAATAATCGTCGTTTTGTTAAGTTTTATTCTTGTATTACCTACTTTCGCCTGTTACTCTCGATAGAGCACAGGCTTCCGACCAGCATTCTCCAACCCACACTGTCCTGGGCTTTCCTTTCTAATTCTATCCAATTCTTGTTCATTATTCTCATGTCTATCTCCATTTCCCGGCGTAATGTGTTCTTAGTCCTTCCTCTCCTCCTTCGGCCTTGAGGATTCCATATGAGGGCTTGTCTTGTGACGCAGTTGGGTGCTTTCCTCAATGTGTGTCCTATCCACTTCGATCGCTTCTTCTTAATTTCTTCCTCCACTGGGATCTGGTTTGTTCTCTCCCACAGTAGGTCGTTATTGATAGTGTTTGGCCAACGGATCTGAAGTATTTTGCGTAGACAACTGTTAATAAACACTTGTGTCTTCTGGATGATGGCTTTCGTAGTTCTCCAGGTTTCCGCCCCATACAGTAGAACTGTCTTGACATTTGTATTGAAAATCCTGACCTTGGTATTGGTTGACAGTTGCTTTGAGTTCCAGACGTTTCTCAGTTGTAAATATGCTGCCCTTGCTTTGCCGATCCGCTCCTTCACATCTGCATCAGATCCACCTTGTTCATCAATGATACTACCCAGATATGTAAAGGTTTTTACATCTTCCAAATCTTCTCCGTCAATTGTGATTGAATCGGTGCATGCTGTGTTGCATCGGAGAACCTTGCTCTTCCCTTTGTGTATATTGAGACCTATTGCTGCTGCTACACTGGTCTTCTTCTCCTGCATTTGTTGTTGCGTTTGGGATAGAACGGCCAGATCATCTGCGAAGTCCACTGTATCCCATGCTTCCCCCCGGGTGTTGACGTCTTTATGATCTAGTCGATCACCAGGAGAAAGAGAAAGGGTGAAAGTAATTAACCTTGCCTAAAAACGGTCTTTACCTCGAACAAGTTTGTTAATTATCCTCCATGCACTATTTTGCAGTTTATTCTTGTATGCCGATATATTATTTCATTTACCTTGAAGTCTGTTTGACCTACAGTATGTTCTTTTTATGACAATAGGTTGAAGCGTTTTAAAGCTGATGCAGTGAGATACAAACCATTATTATAGATGATATTAACTTACACAACTATTCCAAGTAAATTCCCTATTTCATGTATCACAATAGATATTAAATTTTGCAAAAAATATATGTTTTTAAAAGGTTTGTGATTGAAAGATCAACTCAAAAGAATTGTTCGTAAATGGACTGATAATATTTTATTCACAGTATCTTACAACAGACTAATATTGTAACTTATTATTTTTCGCTTAAAAATAGCATTCATAAGATTGACCGGGTATCCAAGTCACAAGTTAACAACCTACTGAACTCCGAATCATTACCACCAAATGACAAGATTAATCTAAAGTATAAGACAACTGATCAAAGTTTGGCTACAGGATGGAAACAAATGCAATATGATCAAATCTCTAATGTTCATAGCCCATTCATTGATGCCCAACGGCGTCCACGTTTAGGGGATTGTGTTAGTAAAGTTACAGAATCATCAAAGATGGATTTTACACTGAATACTGGGGTAGCTCCTCAAGATACATGTGTCCCTGTCACTACCTCAACACATTTCAGTGTAAGCTTTGAGAGTCCTTTGGAAGCTTCCTCTTTAGGAGCACGACTTAGTCCTGTTGGTAGTAGTTGTTGGTCATCTGAACAACATATCTCACCAGATTTGACATCACTTATGAGTAGTAGCACAAATTCTGTATCTGCTGGGATATCGTTAAGTTCGGGTCGTCAGCATGCTCTGAAATCATTACTCCACAGACAGCCATCAGCTGGAACAGGATGTTCTGGTGGTACTTTGTCAACAGAAGCTGGACAATTACAATCTGCCTCAAATTCTGTTCGTTCTGCTCCTCTATGTGCTAGCCAAGTGACCAAGTCGAAGTGGAACAAACAAATGGGAATAAATAAGAATGCAAATTTACAACATTTTGCACCACCTCCACCGTCATTAGTAATCAGTGATCCAGAAGAGGAAATGCACAATAAACGTTTACAATTGTAAGTTAGATTTATTTTAAATCTTTAAAAGTATTGTTATTTTCTATAATATATTTGTGGAATAATCCTTATTAACCACTGATAATACACTTAAACTGAAGAAACCAACCATTTTTATTCAGGGTTAATATATTAACTGTTATTATTTAGGTTAATGATTTGCAGAAAGAATTGGGGCCTGAGTGTACATACATAAACCCCAATACTAAATCCTAAACCACACTAAATCAGCGTGTTGACGTGCCACTATAGCAGAAGTATCAACAGTATCAGTGGTAATGAAAATATTAGACAGACAATATAATCGGAGAACAAGGAATAAATTCCTCGAATAAAAAGTATGAAACAAATTTAAAGCTCCATATCAAATTGAAGATAAAGAGTGAATCTATCTGCGTCATTGCGAGAGATTCTGAACCATGTCATTTAACATCTCCAAACATTGATTACGATAAATGTCCGAACACCAACCTGGTTATCTAAACTTACGCACATGCCTTAGGCTAACAATTAATGACTTCATAATCTGATGCTACGTTTTGGTTTGATCGCTTCTAGCTTTCTACTGATCTACTTTTATACAAGCAAACAATATTAGAATTATGCAAAATTTGAAACGTACTCGATTCAGCAGTACATACGCTAAAATTAGAAAGATACAGAGAAGAATGACACGCAAAATCGTGAAGCGTTCCATATTAGTCTCTGACTAAGAAAATATTAGAATTGGCTAAACTGGTCCTTAAATAAAAGTGAATATTGTATATATTTCATTTCTTAATGTTGGATGAAATAAATCAGCCAAACAGTCCATTCGGATAACTACACTAAGTTACTTGATATGACTTCGAGTTGATCGGTTTTAAACAAAAGACATACATATTATGCTGAAAACATATTTAGGTAAGGCAAATACGACAACTTAAAACTGTAGCGCACATGTAAAAACAGGATTTTAAACATTACATTTATATCTGATATTTCCAAATACAACTTTTAATGTAACGTAGAGGAAATGGTTGATCAATTCCAAAGTTGAATTTGACTTTGTCAAAAAGAACCCCAACAAAACTAACATGGAGACTTGAATTCACCATTTGAATCTTGTAACCTATACTGTACTCAATTCTGAAAAGTTTGAAAAGGAACATGGCGGGAAAAAGGATAAAATCAACTATTTTGATGTTCATATTATCTATTCTTGTACAGAATAATCAAAGCATTTTCATGACCTAAACATAAATGATAAATGAATAGGATAATAAAAATAATACACTATACAATGGAAAAGGAAGTAAATTGTACATTTTTGAAAGATAACATTTATAAACATTAACTAGCTCAAGTTTGTGCATTGTTCTGAGATGCTCATCATTTATCCCTTCCCTTTCAATAGTTCTGAATTAGTTTATGTTTCTTTCTTTTCATATGAACCAATTGTAACTGATATTAATTTTTATTCTATTCTGATATCTATTTACCATTTTTATTCTACCTATACTATGCATTAAAATATTAAATGAGAGTGAACAGATGAGTGAAATATGAATCATTGTTGGTTTAGTTCAACAGTACTATTAGAGGGTAAATCAGAGAAACTATTAATATAGTAATTATTGGAAATGCTCAGCAAAGTGCATAACTACTATTTTGATGTGCTCTATTAAATGAGGATAAATAAGAATTGAATTAAATTGTGACTCTACCTTTGATGGATCGTATAACTTAATAAATGAACTATGGAGAAACCTTTAAATGTGATTTAATGGTTTGGCTAATTATCTTTGTAGTGTTGGACATGGACTTTACTGTATGCTTTTACGGTTGTTAACAGATAGCTTAAAATTCTGCTAGAGCATTGGTCAAAAAGTTATTCAACCTATTTATAGAATTCACATGAAACTAAAGAGTACTGTACAGGTGTTTCACTTTAGTTGATGTCTCTGTAGTATAGCCATGTAGCCATAGCAATATAACCATATATATGAAATGTAAATCTGAATCATCAGTATGAGGTTGTGGAGATTGTTGAGTTTTTGATTGAGATTGTGAATTGATCAATGTTAGACCACTATTGAGTCAGTTACCTACCAAAGACAATGAAAAATAGTCGCATGATTTCGTCGATTGATCGAAATTAAACATTAACACCGTTGTATGCCTGTTCAGTGGTCTAGATGGTAAGCGCTCGCACGCCAAACCGAATGTCCTAGGTTCCAATCGTGGATGTGTACTTTCGAAAAGTTCTATAGTAGAACGAAACGGCTATTCAATGGTACCAAGTTTTTAATGGTGGTCTAGCAATGATCTATTCATGATCTCAAATAAAATAGAATCTTCAAATCTCTTATCAAGGGTATAATGATTCAATGTTCCATTTTTTATTAAAATTTTAATCAATTCATGACATAATGAAGTATACTGATGAGATGTAAATATACTAATACTAAACAGTTCAACATGATCCTTAATAGATAGCTAGACAATGTTGATTTATGAGGAGAGTGTTTTTTCTAATTTAACTACTGACTTGAAATAATTTAACTATCAGATAGTAGATTAGAACCCTGTTTTTCCTAAAGAAGTTTGTATGGTTGTGATTATGATGACCAAGTAACTAAAATGGTCAAAATAAATGATTAAAGTATTGATCAATTGAGAATATACAATAGTATGATGTAAATAAGTGATAACTATTTATAAGACTGGATTATTTAATCAAATAATCAAAAGAACAATGATCAAAGACAAGAATATTAGCGATATGAATAGATTTATCATAATAGTAATAAATTAACATACTTCTATACTAAATGATAAACATAAGAATATGGATGATTAGAAGTCATTTAAAGTAATGAACAATTGAAAATATACTAAATATATAGGTCAGCTAAATGTCAATGAAATGATGATTTAATTATTAAAATCAATTATTGCCTGATATGTGTTACTTGTTAAGAAATCGGAAATTTTAAATATCCATTTCAGAGTGTTTATAAATTTACTTTCTTGCTTAATAACGTTTTACCTTAAACGTAGGTAATTAAATTATCCTTAAGTGATAGATATGAATTGGATAGGATAGAAAAACGTTTGTATACCTTTTAACAAATCTCTGAGCCAAGTTAAACAATAATTCTTTTCAATGGTTGAGATCATGAGTCAGTTGAAGCTAGATCACCATGGAAAACCTTGGAGCACTGGACGGCCGTTTCGTCCTATTGTGGGACTCCTCAGCAGTGCGCATGCACGACTTCACCCCCTGCGACATTCGAACCCAGGACCTACTGGTTTCGTGCTCGCGTGCGTGTCGCTCAATTTTGTGGATCAGTTGAATTTAAACATTAACACCGTTGGATGCCGGCTCAGTGGTCTAGTGGCTAAGCGCTCGCGCGCGAGACTGATAGGTCCCGGGTTCGAATCCAACGAGGCAAAATCGTGGTTGCGCACTGATAAGGAGTCCCACAATAAGACAAAATAGCCATCCAACGCTTGCAGGTTTTCCATGGCGATCTAGCTTCATCTGACTCATGATCTTAACCATTGAAATTACTATAATATCCACAAAACACATCTGATATTATTTATTCTTTCCTTGTTGATGTTCACATGTTAATCATAATTGGTGGTCAGAAATATTAGGTGACATGGTTTTGTTATAGATTATTACATTGTCCATCACTATAGTTTCACATTCATTATTGTTTCATACTTCTTGTGCATTAATTTTCTCCTTGTTTTCAGATCCTATTCTTTAGGTTAGTTTCTCTCACTATCATAAACGTTCGGACCACTTTTGCTTATTCTCTATTTATTTTATCAACTTTTTTTTGACTGTGTTGACGCAGGTAGTAACTTGTTGTGATACAAACTTGTACCAGGTTGCACATTAGGTATGACTGACTATGTAAAGTGGTGGTTGAAGGTCGTCGACAGGAAGCCCCAGACTTAGTTTTCGTGATATTCAGTACTCATCAGCAAGGTGTACATGTAATATTAAGGGAACTGATGTTCCCTGTGGATTCGACCCCGTGTCATCCAACTTCACAGTCAGAGACGTTATCAATGAGCTATCTGGGCCGCAACTGACCTCCTGTAGGATTGAGACACATTTACAATTGAGTGATCATTGGATTGTGATTAATGTCACGTTTGTCAGGTCCTTCTTCCTGATGATCAAATTCTATCGATTAAGTTGCATCGTAGCCGCTAGTCTAGGTGATTCGACATCTTGTATACTATGTTGATATATAAGGTGGTGGTTAGAGGTAGTCAACAGTAAGCATGTTATGGTTTTCATAAAAATAACCTTTATACTATATAAGTTTTCACAATAAACTTTACCAGTTATAAGAAATTGTTTTTTACGTTCAAGATATGTTCTAGCTATTCGATGTATTGCATATCCACTTCTTAATGCTAATGCTACTGGTCAAAATAGAAGATATCTACGAGTAACAAAAGATTATTTGAATATTTTGAAGGAACGTTTTCAGGTAGGTTATTGCTTATTAATTCTATTTCTGATTTGTATTAACAACTTGCTTGAGTAGCAGTTAAGTTTACACTGATAGATCGAGTGTTATTTGCTTTTATAATTTCTTCATCATTCAGAATAGTCTAGAAATGTTATCATTTAAACAATTTGAATCATGTTTTATTAAGCTGGATATAATTTATCATCTTGGTTTTTCAGCATACTATAGTTTATTCAGTAAAAAACTCTTTGTGATATTATTTGTATTTGCCTATCTTACTATGATATAATGGTTTGTTGATTATACCATTGTGGTGCGTGCTACTTATATTGACATAAGTAGTATATAATGCGAGTCAGGAATGTAATGTCTGGTAGCAGAAGATTGAGAAGATCAAGAAAGGAAGAACGGGAATAGAAAGCAATTAGTATAGAAATGCAAGAACAATGAAGTTGGAGAAAATTATTGAACATTTAGCAAATTAGATATTATAGTATGGTTTTTCCGTTTTACCAAGTGACTCTGTAATGTTATGCCAAATATAATTCGTTTGTCCTCACCTGCGTTCTCCTTTACTACACCATAATCATTTCAATGATAAACTAAACTAAGCCTAATATCATTTGCAGGCTGAATATGTTCTTTTTGAGTAAAGTACCTTACTGATGATAACCGTCGGTATCTTGATTCACTAAAATGGTCAATAATACCTTTCAGTATGTTAAGTACATCTATTTTATAGAGATGGAAGAAACTATTCAACTGATTATACCTTTATAGCTTCATTGCAATAAAAATATTAGAATAAGCAACTGTAAGTTGAGTTCATAAACCGATCTCCCATAAAAAATAATTTGCTTTGACTAATTAGATAACTTTTATTCAGAATCAGTGAAATTATAAATTTCGGCATTCAATCAAACAACATAATGCTTTGAAACAGTAACCCATTTTATGCTCTCATTTTGAAATTTTATATATTATATATACCCTAAAGAGGAAGAATGTATTTGTAAAATCTCAGAGAATGAATATGAAGTAAGTCCAACGTTTCGCCTAGCAATCTGGTCTAGGCTTTTTCAAGAATATTGACCATATGAATAGATTTATCATAATAGTAATAAATTAACATACTTCTACACTAAATGACAAACATAAGAATAAGGATGATTAGAAGTCATTTGAAGTATTAACGATTAAAAATATACTAAATATGTAGATTTTACAAATACATTCTTCCTCTTTAATGTTTCAAATAAACTCGGCACCCGAATACTGTGAAACTATTATATAAACCATTTAGTGACTTCTTACAATTCTTCCATATCTCCGTCAATTTATGTTCCATAAACTGTTAACTTAATTTTATTCAAATCGATTAAAATCTAACTCTAGCCTCAATTGACTCATGATCTCAACTGCTGAAATTAATACAGTCTGCACAAAATCCCTTCTGATACTAATCAATACATGCTCACTAGTGACTGGCTTCAAGAGATATATCCTGGAGTTCTAGTGAGAAGCAGTGACCAGTGGAGTTCAACCGGGTCAGTTATGAGATGGTAACTCACTAATAACAATGGTGGATGTGTCGCTCAATTTCGTGGATCAGTTGAATTTAAACATTAACACCGTTGGATGCCGGCTCAGTGGTCTATTGGTCAAGCGCTCCATCACGATTATGATAGGTCCTGGGTTCGAATCCAACGAGGCAAAATCGTGGTTGCGCACTGATAAGGAGTCCCACAATAAGACGAAATAGCCATCCAACGCTTGCAGGTTTTCCATGGCGGTCTAGCTTCAATTCACTCATGATCTCAACTGTTGAAATTACTACAATCTCCACAAAACCCCTTCTGATAAATAAAAAAAATCTTAGGATATTTTTGTAACGAATTATTTTTAATTTTATTAATTAAATTAAAAAAATATCTTTTCATTATCATTAAGATATTTGTCACTAACAATCATAGCTCAGAAATAGAAAAATTCTCATCCAAGTATGTTTTACGGTCGTCAATAACATGTGACGTCCCACTAATAATAGTAATAATAATACTTATTTACGTCTGTTATTCCTCGTGAAGTAGCATAGGCCGCTCACCAACATTCTCCATCCAACCCTGTCCTGGGCAATCCTTTCCAGTTCTTTCCAGTTGTTATTCATCATTTTCATATCTACTTCTATTTCCCGACCTAATGTGTTCTTTGACCTTCCTCTTTTCCGCTTCCCTTCAGGATTCCAAATTAGGGCAATAATAATAATAATAATAATAATATTAATTTGTTGTTAAATGTACACCATTGTTAATGCATTCAAGTCATGGGATCTTTTACGATTTATCTCTATATTTTATTTAAAACTAGTCTATGGAAACGGCTTATATTGTAAAAAATAAACAAACAAATGAATTAGGAAGGAGCTAATTTCTTGTTTAAACAAAGGTAAAGCTTCTTAGATAAATTAGCTTTTGCAAAAAATACCATGGTATATTGGTAATTTATAATTTGAAAAAAATTCTGATGGAGTTTTGTTCTCTGAGCTGGATCGTTTGGTCCAGCTCAAAGAACAAAACTCCATCAAAATCATCCACCTGAGCTACAAATCTTCACCATCTAAAAAAAAATCATTTATTCTAAGTAATGCAAAGAAAGTGAAATATTTTGGATGAGATCCCATTGAAACATAAGTGTCTTGAAAATGTAAATCGTAGTTCTTTTAAGATTAATACTGTTAAAAGTCCAATGGAATATCTTTCAACAACATGAAAATTAGTAATAAACGGAATACACCCATTAAGACATTAAATAAGAAAGATTAGTTCAGTGAAGAGTTCTGTTTTTGGCGAATTCATTTTCAAAGCTGTACAATCGCAACTATATATACTTATTTTTACAGGATGATAATAATACTGATAATCAACTTGTTATACATGGTGAGAGTGAGGTTAAATAAACAAGGGTAATCATCAGCATCATTGGATTATTATTTCATTGTGATATTTACATTATGCATGTTGTTCAAAAAAAATTTTTTAGTGCATCGTTTCTTATATACATATATCAAGTAACCAAGTCCTTTAAGTCTTTTCAAGGTTTCATTGGTTTATGTGAATTTATGTTCTCTTTGTTTAAGTTGTATTTACGTGGAGAGTTAGCAATTAGTAGTGATGAAGCATTTCATACTGCTGTAAATGAATTTTTTGAAGCTGTTCTCAATAGTGATCGTCTTTTAAATATGGTTAAATCAGGAAGTTGTTCCATGTATGATATTCGAGAAATTTTTATTGCAAATATTGAAAAACAAGTAAGTAATCTGTGGAAAAGTCTATATTATTCTACGTAATTAAGTGTTAAATATTTTAGTCAGTAGCATTTATTTTAATTTCTATAATGCTCAAAGGATAAAATGAGAGGATTCTTCAATACCGTATAGTTTTCAACCATACTTGTTGGTATTAAGGTGTATTTTATTTATGTCGACAGATCACCTTTGAAAACCTGGCCGTTTTGTTCTAGTATGGGACCCCTCAGCAGTGTGCAGCGACGATCTCGCATGAGATATTCGAACCCAGGATCTTCGGTCTTGTGAGCGGATGCTTAGCCTTTTTGATTGGAAAATATCAACTTATTTAAAGAGTCATTGCTAAATAAACTGAGAAGTTAATATACTAACATTCAACAATATATACATACAGAAATGTTTAAAAAAAAAGTACTATTTATCTAATAGCATCATGTATATTAAGTTATCTGGTGTAAAATTTTAAATACATTAAAAATTTTTAATAAAAGCGAGAATTACTGTATGTTGATTGGTGGCACAAAACTATGAGCACATTGAGTCTTATCAATACAGGGATCCAAATACTTCTAGCTAACACATTTCAAAAAGGACGGATCGAGGATCCTGAATTTCAGTAATAAATCTAATACTAACGTGCGAAAGCTTCTCATAAATATTCACTTGGAGTAGTGAATAAATCTTAAATGAAAACCTATGATAAGTTTGAAGTTCAGCCATCAGTCTAATGCTTGTTCCTATATTTTATTCAAATATTGAACAAGTAACCAGCTTCTTTTTCTCACTTGACTTATATGAAGCCAATTAAATATGTTTACCAAATCAATCCTTAATTAGTTAGACTAACAAAATGTCTTTTTGATTATTAATTTGAAAAAAGAATTAGTTATTATATAAACATTTGGGTAAAACTTCATTATTTATTATCAGTTTCAAGGTATTCAACCAGTTGAAGGTTTATCTAAAGAAAGTGTATTAAGCGCATGGAAAATTAAATTTGATCAAATATGTCGTGGTGGTGAAGGACCATGTCCTGAAGCAATGAAATTAGCTGTTCCACAACCAGAACCTATAGCATTATCTAATGAACAATTGTATGAATTATTAATGCGTACTTTATCCATTGAAAAGTATGAACATCAAATTTTATATAATGCATGTCAAGTAAGTTGAATCTGTGTAATTGCTTTTTTAAGTAGTTTGATAGCATATCTTCATAGTTGAATGTAATGATTATTGAGAGATCAGTGTCATCTTTGTCGATTGTTTTTTAGTGCTAATCAAATCGCACTCACCATTTTTTTAATGTCATCACAATTTCAAGTGAGCTAACTTTGAGTGTACTGTGTTAAATTGTGAGGTGTTTGGAGGAAGTCGCAGAGAACCCTTGACCCAAGTTTTGTTCTAGTAAGGACTCATCAAAAAAGGAGACCTGAAATATTGAGGAGACTGGTGTTCCCTGGTTGATTATAATCAGAACACTACCAGCACTATGGCTTAAAGAAATACAAAGTTAGTTGCAGCCTGAATAGCTCAGTTGTGATACCTCACAGTTTGAAACTGTATGATGTGGATTCGAAATCTATCAAGGAAAGTTAGTTACACCGAAATTAAAAGTACACCTTACCGAAACTTACTTACTTACTTACGCCTGTTACTCCCAATGGAGCATAGGCCGCCGACCAGCATTCTCCAACCCACTCTGTCCTGGACTTTCCTTTCTAATTCCATCCGATTCTTGTTCATTATTCTCATGTCTATCTCCATTTCTCGGCGTAATGTGTTCTTTGGTCTTCCTCTTCTCCTTCGGCCTTGAGGATTCCATATGAGGGCTTGTCTTGTGACGCAGTTGGGTGCTTTCCTCAATGTGTGTCCTATCCACTTCGATCGCTTCTTCTTAATTTCTTCCTCCACTGGGATCTGGTTTGTTCTCTCCCACAGTAGGTTGTTATTGATAGTGTTTGGCCAACGGATCTGAAGTATTTTGCGTAGAGAACTGTTAATAAACACTTGTATCTTCTGGATGATGGCTTTCGTAGTTCTCCAGGTTTCCGCCCCATACAGTAGAACTGTCTTGACATTTGTATTGAAAATCCTGACCTTGGTATTGGTTGACAGTTGTTTTGAGTTCAAGACGTTTCTCAGTTGTAAATATGCTGCCCTTGCTTTGCCGATCCGCTGCTTCACATCTGCATCAGATCCACCTTGTTCATCAATGATACTACCCAGATATGTAAAGGTTTTTACATCTTCCAAATCTTCTCCGTCAATTGTGATTGGATCGGTGCATGCTGTGTTGCATCGGAGAACCTTGCTCTTCCCTTTGTGTATATTGAGACCTATTGCTGATGAGGCTGCTGCTACACTGGTCGTCTTCTCCTGCATATGTTGTTGCGCTTGGGAGAGATGGGCTAGATCATCTGCGAAGTCTAGATCGTCCAACTGCATCCTAGATGTCCATTGTATCCCGTGCTTCCCTTCAGATGTTGACGTCTTCATGATCCAGTCGATCACCAGGAGAAAGAGAAAGGGTGAGAGTAATCAACCTTGCCTGACACCGATCTTTATTTCGAAAGACTTTGTCAACTGTCCTCCATGCACGATTTTGCAGTGTAATCCATCATATGAACTCTGTATGATATTGACTATCTTTTGAGGCACGCCGTAGTATCGAAGAAGCTTCCATAGTGTTGTCCTGTCCATGCTGTCAAATACTTTTTCGTAGTCAATGAAGTTGATGTAGAGTGATGAATTCCATTCAATTAATTGTTCCACAATGATCTGTAGAGTTGCGATTTGGTCTGTACACGATCTATCCTTACGGAATCCTGCCTGTTGGTCACGAAGTTGGGCGTCTAGCAGTGCTTCATCCTGTTTAGCAATACCTTGTTGAAGACTTTTCCTGGTATTGAGAGAAGAGTGATGCCTCTGTAGTTATCACAGTTGCTGAGATCGCCTTTCTTCGGTATTTTGATCAGAAGTCCTTCTTTCCAGTCTGTTGATACTTGTTCCTCATCCCAAATCTTATTGAAGAGAATGTAGAGTATCCTTGCTGTTAGGATGTGCAGAAAAATATACCAATAGTTATCATGTTAAGTCTAATGCTGTCCTTGGACGCTAAATGTACATTCCCTATTGGTCGATATTTACTTCACTTGTTTAATATTGTGTAAATATTGTTTTCTATTTTTATGGTACAATGTGGTATGTTTGGTTAGTATATAAATAGAGTATGTCTGAAATACAATGATTCATATCTCAGAGGCTGTGACTTTCGTTCTGGACTCAACTGGCTGGGGTAGACAGGGAAGCAGGGCCAATCGGGACTCTAGGTCGTCCATATGTGTCACTGCGGTCGATCGATATAAACGCTGCGTATCAAAACCTGCACTCACACGTTACAACACTTGCAGTTGCCGCTACGTCTGCTTTCAGTGCCTCTTCTGGAATTTTGTCTGGTCCTGCTGCTTTGCCACTCTTGATTTGTCTGGTGGCCATGCTGATTTCTTCAATTGTTGATGGGCCAACATTGATTGAGAGGTCCATGGGGCTGGTCGATTCAAGAGTTCTTTGAAGTGTCCTACCCACCCGTTTCGTTGCTCTTCAATGTTAGTGATTACCTCGCCTTCCTTGTTTTTCACTGGTCGTTCTGGTTTGTGGCGATTCCCAGAGAGTTTCTTTGTCGTGTCATACAGTTGTCTCATGTTTCCTTCTCTTGCAGCCTTTTCCGCCGTCGTTGCTAAATCTTCCACATATTTACGTTTGTCGATTCTGATACTCCTCTTCACTTGTTTGTTTACTTCTGTGTATTCAGCTTGTGCTTTGGCTTTTTCTGCTCTTGTTCTACTGGTATTGATTGCTGCCTTCTTGTTCCTCCTTTCTTGAATCTTATCCAGTGTATCAACGGTTATCCATTCCTTGTGATAGTGCTTCTTGTGACTCAGGACCTCATGACATGTTGAAGTGATTGCCTCTTTGATTCCCTTCCAGTTGCTCTCCACAGTAGCTCCTTCTCCATTGAGTAGATCATGAAAGGCCTGGAACTTATTGCTGAGGGCTAACTTGAATTTGTTGAGTTTGTTAGTATCCTGAAGAAAGGCCGTATTGAACTTTTGTTATATTGTCCGCCCCGTTGTCCAGTGTTTCTTGAGTTTCAATTTCATTTTGGCGACCAGCAAGTGATGATCTGAGTCTATATCAGCTCCTCTCTTGATTCTCACGTCCTCTATAGTCCTCCTGAACGTTTTGTTGATGCAAATATGGTCGATTTGGTTTTGCGTGATGTGATCCGGTGAAGTCCATGTGGTTTTGTGAATGCGTTTATGTGGGGATATGGTGCCGCCTATGACCAGTTTATTGAAGGCACATAGGTTTGCGAATCTCTCACCATTTTCGTTCCTTTCTCCCAGTCCATGTCGTCCCATGATGTCTTCATATCCAGTATTGTCCGTTCCAACCTTGGCGTTGAAATCTCCCATCAGAATGGTCAGGTCCTTTGTTTGGCACTTCTCGACGATTGACTGCAGCCTATTGTAGAATTGATCTTTAGCGTCTTCATTGTAATCGTTGGTAGACGCATAACATTGGATAATATTCATTGTAATGCCCTCCTTTTTTGTTTTGAACGAGGCTTTGATGATCCGTGGTCCATGAGATTCTCATCCTATAAGCGCATTTTGCGCTTGTTTGGACAGCATCAATGCAACTCCTTGTGTATGTGGGGCATTTTCTTCTTCATGGCCGGAGTATAACAGAAGCTCTCCTGAAGTTAGTCGTTGTTGTCCAACTTGCGTCCAATGTGTTTCACTGATCCCAAGTACCTCTAGGTTGTATCTTCTCATTTCTGCAGCAATTTGGAAGGCTCTCCCGGTGTCCCACATTGTACGAACATTCCATGTACCTAAATAAATGGTCGCTCTGGTTGTCAGAAGGGGCATCGGCCTCGTAACTTCCGAAGGAATTCGGCTTTCATCATGAGGCGTCATAGTTCTTCTAAATGAAGACCTTCTGACTCTCGGGGCAGAGTTTAAAAGGTTTGAATAATTTTTCCTGGTTAGCGTTTTTCTAGCGAGTTAGTTTTCTACCGGATGGGGACGCTAACCCCATGCCCAACCCTCCTACCTTATATGGGCTTGGGATCGGCAGTAGCCCTCGGAGGGACTCCAGGCGGAGTTCACCTTACCGAAAAGTTTTAACTAATTTGGAGCTTAGGTTCAAAGTTTCCTATAAACTATCTCCAACCACTAAGTTATATCACTTTAATGAGCTAAAAATAATTCTCCTATGTAAAGCATCGTCTTACATTCTATCCTCTCGGATAATTTCACATGTTTATCAATGAAACAATTTGAAAAATTCTCATTCACTTAGGCCTGAATTTACTAATAACTGTGGCATCAATAAATACCTCCTTTTAAAGTGTAAATTATAATTTGGTGCTAAATTTTCCAATTATGATAGCATTATTTAGGTTGCTACAGTTACAAATGAGATCAGTTTGTTTTCATTAAAGGAGTGGTATTATCATATCTTTCAGAACACTTTAATAAGTGATAAATCTTCATTTCACTATATGACTGGATTTTTATAACACTCGTCTTTACATAGTTTAAGTGTTTTTTTCGTAGTTCACTGTTCTATTATTAAAAACTTAAATTTTACTATGAACAAGAACACAGATAACTATATCCTTGTCTACAGTTCTGTTGCATAATAAACTACTGAGAATGTCATGAGTAGTTTAGAAGTAGTTTACATTTAGCTTTTTATATGATTAAAACATTCAGAACTATTAAATACAAGTATTTAAACAGTTAACAAAATTGGTAATTGACACATTTCTCTAGTAAATATTTATGGTCATATATTACCTTTAGGTTCTGAAAATTGATGCTATTAAGGTAATATATCGAATGATGACAAGTAAAGTACTTTTCTATCTAGTCTAATCAAAAATTTTCTCAGAACTAATTAATTCGTCTTTGATTTATGACTGTTATGGGTAAAAATATACAATCCCCAGTTGGCGATATTCACAATTAGATCCTCCACCAGACAAACATTCATTACCACCTAATGTACATATCTGAACTTTTGCATCAATTCAAAAGTAGTTTTGAATATTTAGATCATATCCAGTTATGGTTGAATGTCAGCAAAATCACAGTATTCCGGTAGACATATGACTTCCATAAAAATAGACGGACAAACTTGTCAACCACTTTAAATTTTATCAAAACTGAAACCGTTCAGTTTAATTAGACACTTTTCTCATTTCAAGCTTACATTGTAAACGTATGAGTACATGTAAATTAAAATGGAATTACTTCAATTCGACATGATTGTTGGTAATATCTGTAAATGTATAATTGAAAGAATATTATAGTGTTATATTATGATACAAACTATTAACCCTTTACGTTATTGTAGCCAACATTGTACAAGTATAAACTTTTATTAATTCCATAAATCCAATATACATTACTCACTTCCATTTCATTTAATAGTATATAACAAAACTAAAATGAATAAATCTGTTGCATTTTCTTATGTTGTCTACTCTTAAATTATATATAGCTTGATAATATGGATGAACAAGCGTCTCAAATCAAAAGAGAACTATCAGAACGTTTAATACAAATTGACAAAATGTATAAAGTGAGTAGTTGAAGTTACATAAATAACTGCTCTTTAGTTATCACAATGAGGGTCTGTAGAGATCGTATTAACTTTAATAGTTGAATTCATGAGTCAGTCTATTCTAGACCGACGTTGAAAACCTGGAAGCACTGGACAACGGTTTCGTCACAGTATGGAACGACTCAGCTGTGCGCATACACGGTCCAGCACGTGGGACTCGAACCGAGGACCTTCAGTCTCGCGCTCCAACGCTTCAACCCTAGACCAATGAGCCGGCACCCAAAGGCCTTAATATCTAACGCTTGTGCTCACTAATGACCAGCTTCAAGACAGATTTTCTGGAGTTCTAGTGAGAAGCCACGACCAGTCAAGTTCAATCCGTGTCGTGTGGAGACAATTATCCATTTCGGATAATGTGTGAATGGTTGCGCAAGATCATGGATTCATTGAAGTTAAACATTAACACCGCTAAATGTCGGCTCAGTATTCTTTGATTGTTTTTTAATGCACTTAGTAAATTGTAAATTATTTGTGAGGTGTATTAAATTTCATTTCATTTTGTGAGTTAGTTATAAATGAAAATGTATAAATTTTCTCGTTATAAAGTAATATCTAATATAGGTAGAAACCAGTTCATGTATTAAGAAGGGGTCACTGGGATTCTAAATAAGTTGTTCATAGTTATCAAGCAAAACACTGATTACGATTATTATATTGGTTGTAAGATGAATGTGGGAACATTTCTTTATTTCGGGAAAATCTAAACTTTACTGAAATGTAAGATAATTATGTAGCATTAGTCTGTATTGGAATTTCACAATACGTCAACAGGATAGTGGTATAATTTGTGATTACATTCTGCATAAAAATAAAAATGAACTCTGTTTACTGATAGAAATCTATCTTGATTGGATTTCTTTAAATGTACCATGTGTTCGATTAGGTATTATTTGTGTTCGTTTATTTATTTATTGTACGATCTTCACCTGATTAATTTCTTCACAGTATGATTGTTACATTTATGTTTCACCTGATATTATATTATCATACATGTCTTTAAGTTATATAGAAGCTTAAGTTGAGACTTTCATATATTCAGCATTAGAATATACCTTGTTCTTCACATCCTTCCATATTTTACCAACTGATATTTAAAGAAATTAGGGATTATATATTTTAAAATAAGTGTCAATAGAGTGTTGTAACCAATCTCTAAAGAAAACACAATAATAGCTTGGTAGAACTATTTATTATTCACATTAAAAACACACTATATTTTGTTCCCTGTCATTAGTTTTGTGTGCTGTGGTGTAGAAAAGTTTACTATCTTAGTTTGTTTGATTGATAAAGGAACGTTCATTTCCTAAAATGGTACATAAGGAAATGGAGATGCAGTATATTGAAGAAGAAAAACTGAGAGTGAATGGATTAATGAGACGTTTAGATTCGATACCAGCGCTTAAAACACATTCCACAGGTGTGAATTCAGCTCATAGACACTTAAGAAAACATCCTATAAGAACAATTTTATCTAATTGGCACACTGGTGGGACAAGTAGAAGCAACAGATCTGTACGTGATACTGGTTCCGTAACTGATCTTTGGTCACGACAACTGGACATGGATTCGTCAAGATCATCTTTATCAATTACAGATGATTTACATTTAACGAGTGAAGGTATTCAGCCCTCTTCAATGTTTCTAACTCATGAAATTTCAAGGGAGGCTATGCAGGCTTCTTCAACAATTGAAGTAAGTAATATGGTATATTTATACATTATTCGTTTAAAGCCATTCACGGTGTTGTTGTACTTTCTGCTGTGGTTCTATCGCTTTTCTACAGGAAAACTTTGAGTGGATACAATTAGTTCACCACCAAACGAATTTTAAATTATTCAAGATATAGTAATATGTGAATAAAGTTACTACGCATAAATACTTTTCTGTCCATTGGCTTAAGACAATTTTCCTTATTACTTGAAGCTGCCTCTTCTTAGAAATGATGTATATGTAAGGTGGATTTCTTAGTAATGATCATAATTTATGGATCAAATTACATTAAAATCACTAGTCACTCAATAAAACCCTGAATAATTCAACTGACGGCTATTAATAAATTATCAAAATTTATTTAAAAATAATTTATTTAATGATCTTATAGTTTTCGAAATTTACATATATTATAACGGCCGTTGAATTCGATCCATTGGATACGTATCAGTGTGGAGTTGTGGAGATTAAGTTTTTGATTGACCACTGTTGAAAACCTAGAGGCACAGGATGGCCGTGTCGTTCTAATGTGAATCTCCTCAGCAGTGCACATCCACAATCTCTCACAGGGGATTCATACTCAGGACCATCGTACATGAACTTACTATCCAACCACTAGAAATCAAGTTCACTAGCTCTTCATCTATGACTCCTAGTTTGCATAATCTAACTCATGGAGTCTTTGGAGTTTTTTCAATGGTTTAAAATTTTTAATTTCATGATTAAGTGATGTGATTTTAATGTTATTATTTTATCCAACCCAAAGATATTTCCTTCTGAATTCTTTATGTTCACGTTTAGATATTGGTTCATCAAGTCAGAAATATTCAAAGTTTACCACGTTCAAAGAAACTTTATTGTGCTATAGAACTGGATGGTACACCAGATCGGAAGAGAACAGAATCCGTAGAGGTTAATAAACCTGTGTAAGTAAATAATAAGTGTTTATCTTTTCTAAAAAAATGTAGAGGTTAGTAACTATTTCTAATGTTAACAGATAACAATTATTTAAAACTGTGTATATATAAGATTATTATGAACCTCACATTATGGAAACTTAACAATTTGACTTAGTTAATAGCAACTTCTAAAGTTAGTATCTTCGATTTTTTGAACTTTTCATTGAATGAAATCAATGTTTTTTCAATATACTCAGAGCCTGTGCCATGTAAAATATTAGCTTTGGGATGAATGTTTGCATAACTTTTGTAGACTATCAGTTTAAAGATGACCTAAATGTATATTTGAGTGATATTGTATTGTATCTCATCGGTGTTGTTAACAATAAATTTTTTTAACTTGATTACTGTTTACATTTAAATGTTTGAGAGGTCATATGAATCTCTGTGTCCCTAAAACGTCAGTCAAAATGTCGGAAAGCTAGATAAGCAATCATATTCATAAATTAAGGGCTAAAAGTCAAACAATAAAAAAAATAAATGAGCAAGACTAATGAAGAAATGCTAATTACCACAATTATTTATGAATTTGATGGCTTAAAGACTCAACCATTTACTATGAATTATTTGAACTGCAAACAAGAAAGCCTATATCACAGCTCATACAAATGTTCAGTAACTGTATGAACTGATATTATGTTTAGTTCTGACTATCACTAACCGTTTTCTTTATCTACTACTTCAATAAACAATGTGACATAGAGGGTAAGAGGCGGTGAATGTTGAAGAGAATTCGATCGATCATGATTTACTGCACAACGTCTTATCCATCTACAAGATTCAGCAGAAATGAAACAAAGATCAAACGGATTCTTATACATCTGTTCTGAAATTACTACATATATACAAAACCAGCGTTACTATTAATGCATAATTGTCAGTATAAAATGGTAATTATAACCAAACTTAACAATGTGTAACTTAAATATTTCAACTTATAGATCTACTAAAACAGTGTTATTTTTTTAAATATTGAACTGAATTATCATAGCATGAAGTAAGTATTTATTCCTTTTGCTTTTATTAAATCATTTTAGATGGAATACAACTGCAGAATTTCAAACATCTCAAATTCTTCCAGTTATCAAAGTAAAGGTTTTCAAAGAATGTTCAGGGCCATTAACACTGGATGATAAAGAACTTGGAAGGGTATATTTATTATAATGATTATTTAGATGACTGAAGTTCATTCACTAATTATTATCACCCCAACCCTAAACACGATTTAATTTTCTCATGATCATCTGTAAACTTGCAAGAATAGTAGATCGGTTCTAAAAAACATCATTGGTCACTAAACAATTCAGGAATAAATCAAGCGCTTAATAAACAAGAATAATTTTGTCTAACAACAGATTATTTTGTTATGTTATACTACATTGGAGACTAATCTTAACTAAAAAAACTCTTTGCAAATAAGGCATTATCGGACAGCCGTTACGTTTTATATCGTAACACCACAACAGAACACACGTTGGAGACCTGATATACGTTTATACTTGTTACTGATGTGTCCAAAATGAAGACAAAGCTCGATTTTCGGTTTTCTTTGATTCTCCAGCCCAGTCAGTCATCATCAACGTAGAGCTTTGTACCAATATGCGTTGGCCTACGTTACCATAATATGTTAGCACGACGAGATGAAAGTAACAAGATATTCAACAAAAGAGATCTGAATAACGTAGTAGACTTGATAATGAAAAAGACTGAGCATTGAGAATAGTGTTTAGAAAGACAGATTTGAAAGGCAAGTTTTAAAAAAATACTGGGATTCAAAGTCGATAGGAAAATAAGAGATGGGTGCAAATGAATGATTTTAAATGATTCTGAGCCATGTCATCCAAAGTCCCTAGATATTGATCGGAATTAATGTGCGGACAAAAACCAGGTAGTCTGCAACGACCAACATGGCTCATTAAAACAGTTAATGACTTCTTCCAATCTATTCTTACACTAGTCAGCATCGTTTCTAAAGGTAAATATCGGCTAAGCATACGTAAAGTATATCCAGCTGATGTGAATCCACAATAAAAACTGACTTTACAAAGAAGTGTTTGTCATAAAATCTAATATTAACATAATCATTGGCTTGTAGTTGTTCCTTGTTCACTTGCTTAATTGAACAATTTTTCTTACGACTACAGTTTTCTTTAACAATTTGTCGATAAAATGGTTTATGTTATCCATGTTGTACTAATACAATTCAATTTAAATATAAAACAACAGGTAACTTTTAATATAACTTGGTCAAGTCCACGCACCCCACTTTGGTATAAATTACAAAATACAAAACATTGTCATGATCCTGTTGAAATACAAATTTCAGTGTCTATGCAACGCCCAACTAATTGTAAATATAGTAATTATTGTTGGATTCAAGGTCGTTCCACATTTAAAAAATGGAAACGACGTTATGTTTGTATCATACAAGTGAGTTACATTGGTTACTTTTACTACATTTTCCATTGTAACAAATCATAGTTTAAAGATGAAATAAGTATTTGTTGGGGATGTTAGATCCCCAGAACTCACTTGGTAACTACTTTAACTTTGTAATTTTATTTTGAAAATTTAAATTCCTTTGTTTTCGCACGAAAAATCCTCTTCACCATCATGTCGTATTTACCGGTTGGGAGAAAATTCAACGGTATTGGTCCGTTGTATATTTTAGTATGCTATTTTATAACGCTTCCCAAGGAAAGTTTTACGCTGTGTATATATGTTTGATTTGTGTCTGTTGTTATCGCTCGTACTTCTGGATAGTTGCGGAATATACTTCTCCGTTCCAAACTTCGACTTCTCTCTCTAGTTAGCGGGGCTGGGACGCATCAAAATATCTAGCTTATCGGTCATTGATCACATAGTCTTTGTTTTGTCCGCAGACTAGGTGAACTCGTAATCGCTACAAACATAGCAGTATTAACAAAAGAAATGAAGTGACGAATATGGAAAAATCCATCCGACATACTGGTAAAACAGTTTTGAGGCAGTTATACTAATGCTAGTCCTGATACTAGCGTTCAACGTTGCAGACTGTTACATAACACCATCACACCAAAAGGAGACTATTAAAACAAGCAGAAAGAGTAGATGTGATCTTAATTTTTGTGATAGTAAAAGTGAAACACAGAGAAAATGACTGTTAAAGAATGCATGAAGTTGAAAGATGGAAATTATGAAACCATACTAAAGCCTAATTTATATAAAAGACAAAGCATGAATTCCTCTAAACTTCTACTGTTTTTTCTACATTCTCCTATGTTTCTGAAAAATGAGCCATCAAGTTACAAGATATATATAAGCTGCGTGTATGTTAGGTATAAGGAACTAAACAATGATGGAGAACAGGTTGATAAGGTAGTGAATACTCGTCGATCGAGGTGGCTGAGATATGTTACGTATGCTGAAATATTTCTTACTTAGATATGCAATGTTGATTGGGGTAGGAATAAGTTTGAAGAAAACTAGGCACGGTACCATTTTAACAAGTCATTAATTGTTCGAATCAGCCATGTTGATAAGTTCAAAATACATGACTGAGTTTCAGAGTATCTCGTAAATTCTCTAACTATTGATAACGGTTAATCAGAGGACCTCGACCGAAACATGTTGCACATCATCATCATAGGTTGAACATCTCCACAGAAAAATTATAGAAAACTAATTACCAACTTATTATTACTGAAACATGACTGAACAGATTTACTGACCAATAGAATTATGATATATAGTTACTTGTGAGTTATTTTATGTTATACAGATTTCCAAAAATAACTTTTTCTATGATTTCACAGAATAAAATTGCCTGTCCCATGATAATGATATACTTCTCCAGACTTTACATATATGCCTTTAAACTAAACCAAGCATACTATCTTATACCTTGCACAAGTTGCCTTAATACTAATAATTACTTATGCCTCGTCTTATTGACAGACAGTAATTAAAAATAACTATCTTCCATATTTAGTAAGACTAATCTAGTTAACTCGTATTATTGGGGACGATAAACAGCAATGATGAATGAAAATTAAAGCATGAAAACTAATGATTTTTTTCCTAATGGTATGAGAATACACATCTTTTGTTCTATCAACCCAATTATTGGTATATATGCATATATATCAGCTGTTACATATCAGTAGATATCTGTTTAAATGTATATGGTAGAGATTTATGTCATGACTGATAACGATGTATATTGATGTCTCATTTTTAGATCATACCTAAAGTATTAAATAAACAAATATATTTATAAAGAGTTTTGTAATCAATATAATTATGATTAGATTGATTGGCATCATGTATATTGAATATTAAATTCGATAAATTATTGTTCTCATTCATTCTAACTGCTATTTTTAATGACAGTAGTATAATAGTTTTGAAGGTATAATTGCATGTACTGATGATTGATTCGAATGTTGAAAATAAATAAACGATACTGTAAAAGAATGTGTATCTCTCTTTAATATAGTTTTGAATTTATGTATATAATATAATTGAGTGTTATATCATACTAGATGATAAGAACAGATTGACATTGGGATTGCACACGACTTACGATTGTAAAGATCTATTAGTGGGTAAAACTACGACTTAACAAATATTTTTAATTAACTAGAAATTTCGGCGAGACTCTAATTTATGGACGAGCCAATCAGAGGCGTTTTAGAGATTTCAAGGTTACGGCGCCAACTTCAGTGCTTAATGCTAATGTACAATCGGTTCACAGGGAATCTTGTACAAAACGTGATAATTGAGCGGCTATAACAAATAAAACGGCGAGACCATGATTTGTGGACAAATTATTCAGGTATAAGATAATAGATCTCGGGTTTCAACGCGAAAGCCTTTCATCCATTTGGCTAAATAAATTTCTGGCATTATAGCTGATGTCATTTCGCGATGAAAACCCCATATATAATTCCGAACTGGGGCTAACTATGACAATTATTGCGAACTGGATAATAAAAGCACCAGTAACACTGGCTGCAGTCAGGTAATACAATATATATGGATGTTTGGAGAGCGTACAGACTCCTACATAGGCTTGGTTATATGCATCGTGTCGTTATCCACAAGTAGCATTTTGTGCACTCAACAGCCAGAGTGCAAATAAACAATATTGAAGCTATGTGGTTGAGGTTGAAAGAGTTTTTGAGACTTTATCCTGGCTCCAGAGGCCAACTATTCTGTAGCCATATGGATGGTTTCCACTACTGCACGCATTACGATTTTAGAACCTGTGAACCTCTTTCTAATCTTGACAAGTTTTTGAACCACGTATAAGTGTATCCACTTTATTTCCTTGGTTTTGTATAACATATTTTTACTCTATACTAACTGTTTGCTGATTGGCTAATATTTCTCACGGTCACTAAGGATTTGTCCAAAGATAGTCCATAAATTAGAGTCTCGCCGAAATTTCGAATGGAGAAATGAGTTAAGGGTTCATGCTGCCTGGTTCAAAAGCTGAACAATTTGTTCAATAAGATTATTTACACCATATAGTAGTATAGATTAAAGATGAATAGCCTAAAATGTTGATTTCTAATTTGGATAATTCATGTAACTGAATAGTGCGAAATGCCTATAGATTAAAAAAAACCATTGATCTATCTCATCAATCAACTGAAATTTTATGAGATCGGATGTGGAATATACTTTTGGCATATGAGCTGCTTATAATGCTTCCCGCTACACTGTGCTCAAAACAATCATCAAGTCAGCATTATACACAGTGCACATGTTTAGAATTACTCAATTACAATAACATTTAGTTAAAGTAGTAACTTATTAACTAAAGCACTTGACTTAAAATCACTGTATAAGAAGTTTAAAACGATTTCTTCCTTTTTTGACTTGAATAAATGCATAGTAATAGTAGTTTTCAAGTAAAAAATTAACTAATTGGTTGATCGATGACATCAGCAAGCCTTTGTTCAACATGTGATGAAATCAAATGTAAGCGTTCTTTGTAAAATTTCAAATTATGATGATAGAACCGTCTACTTAAAGGTATTTTCCAGTGTTTTATGAAGTCTGCTTATTTCTTGATGAAACTATCATTAGATGAATCATTTATATTGAACTATATTTTGTTACAGAATTTACAGTACTTTTTATTTTTGTAATATTGTTTTTAATAATACTAAGCATCACAATTGATTGATCACTGGGTGGTGACCAATGTCATGTGTGCCAAGTCCTTATTAGTACAGATCGATTGCTATCGACCATGATGCAATGTGGCCACCAGACTAGGTTATTCGACACTGCGTGCACTATTGTGAGATTAAATGTTGGTTTGAGGTAGTCGACAGGAAACCCTGGACCCGGGTTTCGTGCTACTGGGCACTCGTCAGCAAGCAGTGTCGAGTCACCTAGGCTGGTGGCCAAATCGCATCATGGTTGATAGCATTTGATCTGCATTAATACGTACTTGACACACATGACATTGATCACCACCCAGTGATCAATCAATTTTAATTACATCTCAGTCCTACAGGAGGTTGGTCGCGGCCCGGATAGTTCAGTGGTAACATCCCTGACTGTGAAGCTGGGTGACACGAGATCAAATCCGCCAGGGAACACCAGTTCCCTCAAGATTACAAGTACACCTTGCTGACGAGTGCCAAGTAGCACGAAACCCTGGTTCAGGGTTTCTTGTCGACTACCTCCAAGCACCATCTAATGCCAAGCACTTCTGTATATGTAAATGTATTTCATACAATTAATATCCTATCAATATATTCTCAGTCAAATATTGAAAACTTCGAATCAATCATCATTTTCTATCCTAGAACAGTAAACGTTAATTACCATAAGTGTTAGTGAATTAAAGCTGCTCTAAGATAAAATAAACTTCATTCGATAAACAATATCTTTGTGTCTAGTTCACACTGTTTAATGAAATCTTTATTTAATCATCATACTCTATTGGATCAAATTAGATAAATTATCAATTTTTAAAAATGCCTTTTATAAATGATTTAAATCAGTAACAGATCAAAAACCGTAGGAAATATCCCTTATATCTAATAATTACCTACTTACGCCTGTTACCCCTCGTGGAAGAGAATAGGCCGTCAGTCATCACTATCTATCCAACCCTGTTCAGGGCAATTCTTTCCAGGTGTTGTCAGTTGCTGTTCAACCTTTTCATGTCTGCTTCCAATTCCCGACGTAGTGTGTTCTTTGGCCTCCCTCTACTTCATTCTCCTTCAGGATTCCAAGTCAGTGCTTGTCTTGTGATGCAGTTTGGATATCTAATAATACTACTCATCAATCACATTTGAAAGTAGATTAGTAGGATATTTTTAACGAAATAAACTTTAAACATAAATTTTTTTATTGTAATTGTATTTATGGCTTAAAGGTTTTGAAAGTTTTTATGATCAGTTTTTTAGAAATTGAGAATTGTGGAGTAATTTCTACCAAAAAGTTAATCAAGCGACTATATACGGCCCCCAAATGCCCTGGTACGGCCGAGAGTGGGCAGTATCAACTCTTCCTACAACCACTACCAGGGAAGTCCCACTCACTGCCTTCTTGCGTCAGGGGTGTTGTTTAAGAAATTGAGAGGACGAAAAGCGAATATCCGGCGCTTTACCCGGGTTAGTGGATACGGAGAGTTCACCTAAGGGATTTGAAAAACCCTCATTCCAAAACAATGGGGCACATAGGCTCCAGGATCCTAAGGAAACAAATGGCGTATGAACCAATCGTCGGTCACTGACTACTGTGGGACTGCATCTCTTAACGTTGATCCATCGCCTTGTGGATTACACTTTTAGGTCAAATTCTCCGTGTGTGACCTCCTAAGAAAACCACCTGCTTCGGTTCGGACATACAGTCAGTATCTTAGCCCTCACACAAATCGGACGACTTATGTGGCACATATCTATTTGGTGCCATTTTGTGCCTATGTTTATATGTTTAAATAAAATAAATAATAAAGTTAGTTGTAACGATTTGTTTTTTTCTCTTTAAATGAAATTTTATTAATTTTCAAATCTAATTTTTATTCACAATTTTTTTAATTCATACAATTACTCTTCCAATTTATGAAACATTCAAGATATCACAATACACATCAATATTGGCAGCATTTGCTGAACAGAAATCTCAACCATCAGAATCAGTTGTATTAGATGGATTTACTGTAGACTATTGTGAACCAAGAACAGGTAACAGAAAAAATACCCATTTTTTTGTGAATTTTATTCATTTTACAATTTTATAATAATAATAAGCTGTAGTCAATGAATTTGTTGTCTTTTCAAAGTAAATTGTCACAAGAATAAGTCATTGTTAAGTAATGTAGTGTCTAGCAGGTCTAAGCACAAATTGAAGGTAAGTTCAATGATAGGATAGCGTTCAGATAAACATGTACGAGCAATCTAGAAGAATGAAAAGTAAGAAAAAACGTTTGTTTGTGATTAAGTGAACATAATGGTTGTACGAGTATTTAGTAATGAAGAAGATTTACAATAATTAGTGTTATATCTAGAAGGTTGTTCTTGATATACCGCGTATAACGTGATCACTTGAACGCCAGAATCCTTCCTAGTCGCAATGAGAAGACAGAAGACTAATGAAAGGAATATTATTCTTATATAGTGTAAATTATAGTACAAAATTGTCAGGTATTTATAGTTTTTAGTAAGAACAAAATCATCATTACAGTCCATCAATCAGCACATAGGGGGTTATTTGGATTGTCCAATCGGGAAGCTACACGTAGGAATTCTAGAACATTCTTCCAAAAGGTGGTTGGATGGAATATCTTCGGCTCCTTCTGAGCCTCCTACAGCTTCTCGAGTTCACCCGTGGTCCGTCTTCACAAATAGCAGTGACATAAATTTAAAGTCTAATATTTTACATTAGCTGTTGATAGTTTGGGATTTCAGCTGTGTCATAGCTTCTGTAATTAATTATTAAGAGTTCAATTTGAATAAAACTTTCTACTTTAGTTCTTGTATTCCGATTTCTTATAATAATACATATCACCAAGACGCAAATAAGCTTAAACCTGGTCAATCAAACTTATGTATATATCAGATAGACTGATTCGACCATAAAAAGTTTAGTTCTTATGATTCTTGACGAATCATCTTTGATGTTATCATGAAATTACCCTCAGTCATTTATGCGAATGAATTCAAGTTTGCTACACGACATCACCACGAGACTGAAATACTAAGACAAATGATTTAGGAGTCGAAGTCGTAACAGTATCAGTTGTAATAAAACATGATTCATCAACAAAGGGTGAATTTGTCGAACAAAATATATGTATATTTTTTTATGCTACACACTTAAAGATGAACAAAGAGTGAACTCATTCGGACCACAGTGACTGATTCAAAGTCATATCACTCAACTTCTACCAATGATTGAATTTATTGCGTAAACCTCAACTAGATTGTTTGCACCGAACAACATGAATCTATCCTACAGTCAGTAACTTCATTAACTGATACCATATTTTAGTTTGATTTCAGGAAACTATATGAAAATAGAATTTTCTCAACTAAAAATATAGTTTTATAAGTAAAGATGGATAGTGGCTAGCAGTGGAATCCAGGACGCGCGTTTCGTCCTATTAGGGACATATCAACTAGATGTACCTGCATCTCAGAGTTGATGTTCACTCTGAGACTCGAATCCAGTAACACACGCTTCAAACGCCATCGCGTTATTCACTCAGCTATTGAGTCCTGATAGCCACCTGCTTGTGCAATGGGATGAATTTAAATTCACTTGGTATTGTTTGGCTTTTATCTTCCCATTGAGGTTTAAGACTGCAATTTATCAGTCTCCTGTTAAAAATGTAGTTGTATATAACAAAAAGAATACTGTTTACACACGATAGCTACTTTATTGTATCATGAATTATTGTCCACTTAACTTTATTCATTTGAAATAGATGTTTATTAAAAAGAAACAACCAAATATTACACGCTACAAATGGTGTGAAGTATAACATCTGTTTTGTTGATTTACATTAAGCAGAAGTATTTTTTATATTTTGTTGTTAGGAAAACGATATTTAAGCTATGTATTCATTCAATAGGCAATATGATGATCAATGTTCTTTTACAACCACAAAATAGGTTCACATATAATTCATCTTTACAGTTTGTATGTTATATTTAACAAAGGATGATTAAGCAGCTAGTTCGTATTAAGACCTGTTAAGTTAGGGGCGGCCAATCCAAACATTGAACTAGTCCACGAGATCATTGACCATTGGACTGAGCCATGTTAACATGTGTAGACTATCTGGTTGATATCCATGTGATTGTTGTAACCAGTGCTTCAGTACCTAAAATGAAATGGCTCTACATCGTTTGTAATGGAGCAGATGCATTCATTAATTATCTTCTCTCAGATTCTAAGCATCTGAATTCCTCATATTTTTTATTCCAAAAATGTGTATTTGTTTGAATCTTATATTTGATGCCTAATCTTTTATATGAACACTAATACTGTTACTATCCCTACTGTTCTGGAATTCGACATAACAATTTCACATCTCTGTGTTAATTGGGTGTGGAAACCAAGTTCTATGTTGTTACTTACTTACTGATTGACTGATATCTTAAATGGCATTTTTTTCATGACACATTGTACTAAGCTTTAACATTGAAATTATTTCGTTAGAATTGTTTCATCATTACTAAAACATAAATTACGAGATCAAAGCAATGTCTGCATTTTATCCCGAAACATTGGTTATTATACATCCAACTTGTGTTTTTTGTTCTATTTGTACTCAATTTTTGTTAGAGATATTAGTTAAAAGTTAGCCAAAAATGTTTGAGACATAAGTTTCTCAGTAAATCCACTATACAGCATTTATCTACGGTCTCCATTTAATATAACTTTCTTCTAGTTACTTGAGAATTGTATTATGTATAACTGCAACTTATCCATTTATATTATCCACTGAACAGATTGGTAGACATTAAAATCTCGTTTATTTTTGTTAACGACAGATTTGATGAATATGGCTGCGTTTGGCAGAAACAGTAAACCTGAACACCATGGATCAACTACATCTTTAACATCCTTATCAAGGTTAAGACTCAGTACATTGGGACGAATAACAAGTCAACGACATGTAGGCAGTAATCCTCTCGGCGGATTAGAATGTGATTATTCGCCAAGGTTTTTCTTCAAACTTGTCCGAGAAGGTGACACAATAATTATAGCATCTTCTGCTGAAGTAGATCGTCAGAACTGGATACAAGCTCTTTATCGAGCGACCGGTCAAACACACAAACCTACATTACCAGGAGCATCAAATGTTTCAGCTATTATCAGTGATCAAAAGAAAAGTAAGCCAAGTTCATTGGCGTTTATTATCACATTGTTTCAGTTAGATAGGACATTTTTATAACTTATAAACGCTTTTACAAACTTACTGAAAGATTACCAAAACTGATCACTACTAAAATAATGGAGAAGAGTGATGGCTTGAACAGATACTATTGGCTGAGCGTTTTATGAACTAGATGATTTAAATTATGGATGCATTACTTTTGTCTTTAGCAGTATTAGTGCCTACATTCAGATAATTTTTAGAAGCTTAGTAATCGATTGGGTTCACAATTTATAAACACGTTGACATAGATCCTATCTATTAATCCATATAAAAAAGGCTAGTCAATCACAAAAAAACTTAAAAATGACCTATATATACTAACAACTCCAAACAAGACTATCAGAATAGGCTGCTATGGCATTTCTAGAACGTCTGAGGTGTTACCTTTGTCTTGTTTTCACTAGCTACCATTTGAGATGACTAAACCTCGAATGTACAGACCTTTGGTGTGAGGTGGTTATAGGTTATTAGAAAAACTCACAAGATTTAGATTTCGTGAGAAATAGCACTATTTTCTGAAGTGTGTCGTCAATCTCGGGATAACTGAGTAACTGATTAGAATTTGAGCTTACTTCACATTTGCTAAATAACACAAAAATCGAGGTTTGAGGTTTCATCACTATTGCTTCTAACCTCGTACTATAAAATGATGGACCACATTTTCAAATTACTCAGACTAATAAGTACATTGTCAATTAATCAGTAGATTTCCACTGGGTCTGTAATCCAGACAACATTAAACTAATTAATAATTAATAGTAGATAAAGTCAACTATGAAAATGTTTGAAAACATTTAATTGTAATCACAATTGATTGATCATTGAGTGGCGATCAATGTCATGCGTGTCTAGTCCTTATTAGTGCAGATCGAATGCTATCGACCATGATGTAATGTGGCCACCAGCCTAGGTGACTCGACACTGCTACTACTACACACATGACATTGATCACCACCCAGTGATCAATCAATTTTAATTACATCTCAGTCCTATAGGAGGTCGTCGCGGCTCGGATAGTTCAGTGGTAACATCCCTGACTGTGAAGCTGGGTGACACGAGATCAAATCCGCCAGGGAACACCAGTTACCTCAAGATTACAAGTACACCTTGCTGACGAGTGCCAAGTAGCACGAAACCCTGGTTCAGGGTTTCTTGTCGACTACCTCCAACCACCATCTAACATTTAATTGTTTTCTAACTAAATAAGCATTTAGATTTGTCTATTAACATTTGATTTCTTACATCATGCCATTTTCCAATATTTTCATTTTCACTAAAAAGGTACTGCTGATATTGACACCGGTCAAAATAAAACAATTGATAGATTCGCTTCAATACCTATACATACCCTTGATCATTTGGAATATTTCATTATTTTACAATCATCAAGTTTAGATTATCGGTTAACTGTAAGTATTTTTTAAAAATAAAACTGAAACACATTTCACGAGATTACAACATAGTATAAATCTATTTGTAATTAATTACATTTTATAAGAGTAGATTAAATGGTAGCTAGTAATGGAATCTGGGAAATGTGTTTCTTCTCATGTGAAACTCGTCAGCTGGATGCATTTGGATTTCAGTGCTAGCTACTAAAATAATATCGAACCGATTCTCACAGGATGCACATATACCAATAAGAGATTGTGTTATGACCTTGAATCGCTTTTCACCCCGTTGATACTTGTTATGACTCGACCTTGATCTGTCTAGTCTAAATTATGACCTTGATGCGATAGGGTGAGCGGCTTAACCTTGAGTCTATCACGCGTGAGTTCGAGTTGGGGTAGAGAGATAACTATTCTAGAACCTGATTAGTTGGCAAGCACGCAAGTGAGAGAAGACAAGACAGTTGGAACACTAAACTCTGGATTCTCTGAATTCTCTAAATTCGGATTAGTACAAAAATGTACATGAATAAATAAGTCAATATCTTGACCACGACGTACAATAATTTGGAAAAATACAGTTATGCCGGAAACTGGGAATTAGGGTAGAAAATACGGTGCAAATATGATGTTTAAATTACAATATTTTCGGAACAAAAAAGTGTATGGTAGTGAATGGTACATAGAACGAAAGCTCATGTTATGTAGAACAAGATAGGGACAAATATAAATATGTGTTTTACAGGGTTTGAATGAAATGAATTAATGTCCCAAGAAAATGGCTTTCGTAGTTGTCTGGGCTTCTTAATTCCTCGTTCACAACAGATTGATCAATTGCACTCTTTAACATCAATAAGAAGATTCAAAAAACCAATAAAAAAATGTATTTATATTTTATTCTAAATTTATTGTTATGTCCTTTGGAGATAATGATGATTAGTAATTACTTGGAAGGAAACAATGATGTTTGTAATTATTAAGAAATCTTGCCTCTAACAAACGTTACTGTTTCAATGTTATTTGGTAGATCTTCCAACTAAATAATTCATATTATATAAAATCTGATTAATTATTAAACATTGTTTTAATGTTGAATTTAATTATCTTAGTCAAAGTATGGAATCAAGTAACTCAACTGATAGAGATAATAAGTAATGTAATAGCTGGTTATACTGTATATTTTCACATCTATTGTATAGATATACGTTTGACTAAAAGGAAATTAATGACATAAAATTAGGTAAGCCTATATTCTGGAATAGCTCAAACTAAGTGGGTATTTGTAATGTATAATTTTAAGTGCAACTTTTTGATCTAATTATTCTTCTTTCTAAACATCTGAAAGAAATATTCTGAATAAACGTTCTGTATCAAGTTTATTATATTGAAAAGTTTAGAATCATGTTGGATAGTGATGGAAATTTGATCTAAATCTAATAACACTGTCTCCCTTAACTTAGATAATGATGTATTTGCTAATTATTGGCACTTCTAGGTAAATTCACTAGTTTTCAATCTAGCTTCTAGAGTTCTATCCACTACTAATAGATGGACAGTATTTTAAAAACTTCAGTGAATACAGAACGTAGATTTAGTGATTTCACTGGTTGAAATAATGAGTTACTTGAAATTAGACCACCATGGAAAACCTGGAAGCACTGGAAAGCCGTCTCGTCCTAGTATGGGGCTTTTCATCAGTGCGCATCCACGATCCCTCCCCTCCCGCGAGATTCGAACCCAGGACTTATCAGTCTCGCGCGCAAGCGCTTAACCACGAAACGGCTATCCAGTGTTTCCAGGTTTTGCATGGTGGTCTAGCTTCAGTTGACTTATGATTTCAACCAGTGAAATTTCTAAAATCTCCACAAAACCCTCCTTCTGGTAGATTTAGTACTTTACATCAACTGATTCCAACATCTCGTCAGTGACTTCACTTTCGTTTCATTCACAGAAGATTTAAGTGACACTCTGATATATGAATCACGTTTAATCTAATGCAAACATAACTTACTAAGTCGATGAGTAAAAAGAGTGAATTTTGGCAAAACACATGTAGAAGACCAAATCCAAATGATGTAAACGCATGAATAAGAAGGAGAACAAAACAACACATGAAGATAAGAATAATAATGTGCTAATCATGGAAACATAAAGTTAAAGCAACTAAATACAGTTTAACTAAAGCTGCGAATGAAGTGGTTGCTTTTAGAATAACATTTTCACATGTGCTCCAACGTCGAAAACTCAACAATGTTGTATGTCATATTTGAAAACCTGGGAAACTACTTTATATTTTCATGATTAGCTTATGATAAACATTTACATTTTGGTTGAACTAACATTAGAATAGATGTCTTTTCATTAATTATTCAAATAACGTACAGGATATCCTCTCTAATGTGTGTTTTCTTCATTTTTATTTAGAATTACATATACTGTCGTTAGTAATCATCAGTACAATAGTCAATTAATGAATGAATTAGAATTTTCTACTAGAAGATGTACTTTCTTCTTTAAATACAATGACAATGACATAATATTAAAAATATTAAGGCAACTAATATATACCTGAAATGTTACACTATAGTGATTGAATCTATTGCATCATTTCTACTAATATTAACATAAAACGTTTTGCTGTGAATACTTTGTTAAATGATAGAAAACAATTAGAACTAAAAATGTATGCCGCTTTTTATATTAAGCTATGTTAGTTGAATCGTTGGGAGGTCTACATTGTTGTTTTGAATAAAGTTACAAAGTCATTTTAAACAGAAGCGAAGTTTTTAAAAATTATTCCATAAACGCAAAATTATATTGTTCTAATAATTTTACCTATGATAAGTGGCCTAAGTAGGCTTTGATGGCTTCATGTTTCAAGAAAGTTCATCGTTGGATTTCATGGTCTACATCACGAATCGATCTTAAAAAGATAACCACTGAAAACCAGGATGATGATCACGCAATAACGTGAACTGATTTTCGTCAAACGTGTAAACTACTAGATCCTAGTTTAGTGATATAAATGTTAAATGTTCACCAAATATAAAGTTCTGATGATGTTGTTCAGAAGAAAGATGAAAGCTCCACGACTAAACCACCCACCTCAGAGGAAAAATCTTCATCAATATCATCCATCTAAGATACATATCTTCACCAGCTCACCGAGTAACCTGAAGGCACTGGTTTCGATCTCTGATTGGGTCATGGGTGTTTACTACTGAAGAGCCTCATACTAGTATAGAAGAGTGCCCAATAACTTCCTGGTTTTCAATAGCTGTTTAATTAAGATCAGTCCGTGATGTGAATAGTAAAACCCAACTACCATCACAACACCCTATAAAAAGTGCATTGTTTTAATGATTTACTTACGCAATAACATACTCACAAATACAATTATAATCCATTTCTTTTTTGTCATTTGTTTTCTAAGGATCCATTTGTTTCACTTGGCTGTTTAAGTCCAACTCAACGATATTTATTGGATGAATATTGTACACGTTATGGTATACGTGAATGTCAACGTCACTTAGCAATGTTAATTAATTTATTAAATAAAATTGAAAATGGTATGAGTATAGATCCAGATTTAATTCATATCAGTTATTCCTTATGTGCTAATCATGTTAGCGGTAAAGCGTAAGTTAATCCTATGGTTGTTTTTGTACACTTTGTCAGAGTTAGAGAATGAATTTAACATATAGATTTAGGACAAGCGTTTTCACAGTTTATTTCAGTGACCGTTTATATTTATGGTGCCCGAAGATTAGCGATTCATGTAAACTACTAAAACTCCGGAAGTATGAGAGCCATCATCCATTTTATTCGAAATGACACTAACCTTTTGATGGGATTTAGTATTGATGAAAACGCTCATCATAGCCAGCCAAGTGTAATCAAGATTTTCATGCAGTTAGACTAAATGGTATCTTGTTTGTACCGATATCCTAAAGTTTTAGGTTCGGTATCCAGTATACTTGTGCGACAAAGCTACTATACGTTTCCAAGCTGAGAAGAAAGTGTATATGTTATTCTTTCCTCATGTTTCGGTCTGAATTTTTGGGTGCTTAGTTAAGCCGAATAACTATTTCACAGGTAATTCGGGTTTATACATAGTATAATTTTTCGTGATCGTTTTATTTCTACACGATACTAATTTAATGAAGCATGTCTTCCCTTCAGCCAGCGAAGTTTTCCAATTTCTGTAGACTTTTGGAAAATAGATACACCATCCAGTCTCTTTTTTTACATTTCAAAACTGCATACCAAATTAATAAAAAGCTGATTTTTATATGCCGATAAAATTGATGATATATTTGGCGAGACTGTAGGTTATGGGCGAACTAATGAAATTAAAGATAGTACTTTTTAGATTTCGGTGCAAACCTTCATTTCTTCCATATGATTAAATGGCATTTTGGTATTATAGCTGTTGTTAGTTCTTGATGAAAACCCTGACTTCAATTCTTAGCTCTAACTTCTAACTCTAAATTCTAACCCTACTTCCTTACGCTAGTTTGTAACTTTCTTTTAACCCTAGCTAGAAGGTGGATATTTCTCAAGGTCACTTTATCGTCATTCAAAGGTTGTCCATAAATTATAGTCTCACCCATTTTTGTCGTTATAAAGTTTAAGTTTTAACTTTCACCGTTATATCATTTCTCGAGTACTGAAATCCTTCTATAAGTAAACATCCAAGTGTTGTTTTGATTAACTCTCGAGGATCAAATGATGGTGGGTTATTTACTCTTCGAGGATATTCACCTCCCACATAAATGCACTAATACTGCAAACGATGGATTTTTGTTCGAAAAAAATTCTTATTGTTTGTTTACACATTTGTCGGTACAAATTGATGGTAAAATGTAACATCCAAATGTAAGAAAAATAATTTTCCTACAGTATACAGAATATGAGTTTAGAAATTTGACTGACAACATTTGACATCATTTTTAAATGTTGAACTGACTGGTATCCAATGTATTAATTAATCCTATCGCATATTGATGGATAATGCGAGATTAATAACCAAAGCAATGTTAGATACTTGCTATAGCTGTGACGGCAGCAGATTAGAGGGTAGCGAATTTATCGATCGGACCAAAGACGCACAAACACGTATAACGGCCTAGTGTTCTGATTGGTCCCGCTTCCCTGTCTAGCCCAGCCAGTTGAGTCCCGAACACAAGTCTCAGCCTCGGATATATGAATCACTATATTTCAAACATACTTTGTTTATATACCAGTCAAGCAGACCACATCGTACCATAAAATAGAAAATAACATTGTACAATATTGACCAGTAGGAAAATGACAAGTGAAATAAACATTGACCAATAAGGAAATGACACCTTCTCAAGCCCAAGGATAGCGTTAGACTTAACAGAATAATTTCTGGGATATTTTTCTGAATATCCCAACAATACTGTAATATTGTAAGCGAAGGCGATTGCCAGTAGGAATCTATATTTATCGTGCGAAGTTACAAAGCGTCCACATAACATTCAGTCATCCATTAGGATCTTTTCGTCTGCTCTCCAGGTGTTCTGTTTTCGATGTACCTTCGATGTATTAAAACTCTTCACTCCGTATGACAACTGTTGGAACTTCGACACAACGCCCCGTTATATTCTACTAACAAACAATCTTGTGAATAGTGTCAACCATAATATAATTGATCCTTATATCAAGCTTTTGCTTGGAGGTCATTTAATGACTTACCCAAGAACTAAACAATGAATGGATATATATATTGCAAAACGCTGCTCGTTTAATTTCATACTTGAATCACTCTCCTCTTACTCCCATACAAAGTATAAGTATCTTTTAAAAATACATTCACCATAAGTGTTAAGCATCCTAGTAATTACTTGTAATTACTCAACTTTGAAATTATAGCATTTATAGTTACATTTTAATTCTTCCTGACCTTTATTAATTTTAACAAAAAAAATAGTCAACATGATCAAGCCGTACATACAGTGTTAGCAATGGAACGTGATCAATTTCAAATTATTAGAACTCGACTGACAACACTTTTAGAAAAACAAATTACTGAATTTCGTTATTGTTTCCCATTTGGTCGTCCGGAAGGTGCATTGGAAAAAACAATCAGTCTGTTGGAAAGAGTAAGTAACATAATATCGGGTATCTTTTCTAAACAAAACTCAAATTTGAAGTTATTTTAAAGCAAATCATCCATCTTTTTGTGAACTAGTTTATTCATTTATATCGAATGACATGAAGCACTAATATCTTCATAGTTTACATCACCGGATGATCGAAGTTGTATAACCGTCAAAAACCAAGAAGTACTGTATTGTTAGACATTTAAACAACTGGATGCTGACTCATTGATCTACAAATTAGGCTCTCTCTGAAAGACCTTTATGTCCTGGTTTCGATAGACAAATGGATAGTGGTTATGTATTGTTGAGGAACCTTATTTTAGGACGAAACAACTATTTGATACTTCCTGCCTAGCAGTGAATGATCAACTAATATTAGTCAGACATGAGAACTATGAAGTTCAACAATTATTATAAAACCCCATAGTAATATACAACATTTCATAGTACAATGTGATTTATTGGTGAATGTATTATTACTCGTTTATAAGATTTTGGTCTTTTTAACAAGCCTTCAGGCGTCTTATTTATGTGATGGCCGGTTAAACTTGCAAACTGCTTGAGCCAATTTATATGGTAGGAAGTTCAAATTTGGAACTTATTAGTTGAAGGCCAACTGTCTTTACAGCTAAGACGTCGCTCTATGCATTATATTAACCAAAGATGCTAACATTACTTTGTACAGTCCTAAACACATATTTACATTGATATCCATCATTGTTAGAAATAAAATCGATGTTATAAAAATGAAGTTTCATGATTCGAATCTACATCACTATAAGATCTAATTGTAGTTTACTAATAAAAATGTTCATTCAAGACGGTATCAAAGTTGTGTTTAGCATGGATCATAGACCTGCTTAGTAAACCGGACATTGAATGTTTAAACATGAAACAATATAATTCTGATGAAAGAATTATTTCAGTATAGGGGTTGTGGAGATTAAGTTTTTAATTGGGATCATGAACCGATTGATGTTAGACCATCATTGAAAACCTGGAAGCACTGGACTCCTCAGCAGTGCGCATCCACGATCTCGCTCGCGATTTTCAGTAGTGGTCTAACATCAATCGGTTCATGGTCTCAATTATGAATTGTTTCAATCCATCTAAACGAAACGTTAATCATTAATTAAATGATATACAATAGTCTAATATCTTCATGTTTATAGATCAACAATATTGTTATAACAGAAAGAACTAATACTTTCAAATAGCAGGAACTAAACTAAGGGTGAAACTAGACTATTTGAACTGGATCAGAAGAGAACTGACCATAACCTAATATGGATATCACATGATTACGTTTTCTGTAAAGTTTCTAACTTCCTCTATCTTTTTTTTCTTTCCTTAATTGAGAAATATCTGATATAAAAAAGAATACAGATGGGTTTTGTGGAGATTGTAGTAATTTTAATTGTTAAGATCGTGAGTCAGTTGAAGCTAGACCATCATGGTCTAGTGGTTAAGTGCTTGCGCGCGAAATCAGTAGGTCCTGGGTTCGAATTTCGCAAGGAACGAGGTCGTGAATGCACAATGCTGAGGAGTCCCATAATAGGACGAAACGGCCGTTCAGTGCTTCCAGGTTTTCCATGGTGGTCTAGCTTCAAATCTTAACCATTGAAAAAAGAATAGTCAATAAATACCGATCGAAATCGATCGTTTACTAACTAAGTATTTATCACCGGAAACACTTAAAGTTTTTATTGAATACTAATAAAGAACTATAATAAAAATCTATATTATTTTAATATAGACTAATTTGTCTCTAATTAACAAACAATATCAGTCCAGTTGGAGGTATTAAAAACTAAGTTTTCTTGATTTTCTGAATGAGGTTATTCAAATTCACAATTAAACCTATTAGTTTAGTGAAGGTAAAGACATCGAATAGCCATCTATAACTTCAGGTAAAATGTAATTTTGTAATTTAGTAGAAAAACCATGTAATGACTGATACTAATAGATGTTAGTGCACTTTTCACACAGTGTAAACGTCCTCTAGTGATAGTGAGAAAATTTTATTTGCTCTGTAGACGAACACTGTTCTTTCGTGTAGATCTTTACGGCAGAAATACTTGACAATCTTAGTATACTTCTCTTATCAAAATGACATACTGACGTTATCTAGATTTTCTGGTTGTATAACTTTATATTATGAATACTTATATACTGTATCATTTTAAATTGATGTGTATTCTAAACTTCATTACGACATAAATTTTGGAGTACCGAAATAAGATGAAATAACACCATAATACTTCATAATCTTCAACAGTCCTTTACCTAACCTTAATAAGTGACGAAATCCACTGTCTTCGCAACAAGGTTAAATTGAGTCCCACTTGTGTACAGAAGACTGCTAATAATGTTTATCTTTGTAATGTTAAATCTAAAGTATTTTTACAAAAACAGAATATCCTCATGATATTATCATTACACGTGTTTCAAAACAATTTTTTATATTTCTATGATAAAAAAGTCATCTGAATATCTCACACCTATTCCGGTCCACTAGCCTGTTTTGGTTTAATGTAGTAACGCTATAAAACTGTGCGTGTACACTACGTGGACAAATGGCCTATATAAACGACAACAAATTTGTTAACCGAGAATCAACCTATTAAACAGAATAGGGAAAAGAGACAGGGCGTTTGTAAGAAAATATTTTACTGTTTATTATAAAAGGAGATGCAATTACAAACGTCGCTCATTTAATACTGTTTATGTGACCTTATAATTTAAAATATAAAATAATCTGTGAAATACAATCAACAGTTTTCATTAAGCAACAAGAGAGTAGGCTGAACAGTAGCTTGAAAATTATCAACTCAAATCATAATAATACTGAGAAACGATTTTTCTTTTCCATGGGTGAATTCGGTAACTAGGACGTGATCCATTCATATAGATGAAACCTTTTGCATTAGATATTGCATTGTATAAAATTGTTTAATCTTAAATGTGATTAAGCTGATCAGTTGTAAAGATGATATTCACAGATAGAACAATTTTTTTAAAACAAATATTGTTCATATTGAGTGTAAAAAGTCATGAATAGTTTGTTTAAATCAATGATATATCTCATGCTGGCAAAACTGTACATATATCACTGTTTTAATAAACAAAGAGAAAATAATTCTCAAGATAACTGTGATCATCATTCATGATGCATTTAATGTATGCAAAGTTGAATACAAAGTTATGTGAAACGTTTTTTTTCTTCATACAATCCAATTGTCGTCAGAACAGTAGCAGATAGATAGATAGAAGACTGCTTGTCTTCATTATTGTACGTTATTTGTACACAACTCGAACACATTCCATGTGCCTAGTCCTACGTTGTGGACGACTGATTGACTGACTGACATTTCATGAGTTTTGATGAACCCAAAAAGAAACACGTAATATATTTGGTTGTTCTCGTATGATTCTATCATGACGTAAAAATACACCATGTGGTGTATATTATTTATTAATATTAAACTGAAGTTTCACAATTACTGAATACTGAATGATTAAACAATGTCTGGATAAAATCTATAATTCGAACAGTGACATTGTTGTCATATGTGGTTAGTGTTAAATGAATAAAGTAATTGATACAAACAATACAAATAAATATATTAAAGAGTATTAACGTGATACAGCATCAAGAGTAGTGAATAAGCAATATTAATCCTGTTTATGATTGGCATAAAAAAAACAGTATCCTACCTAACATTATCTCAAGCATAGTAACACTGTATAACAGTTGGACGTTGAACAAGTTGACTGAAACAATGGGCATTTTAAAATAAACTGAAATTGATTCAATCTGTTTCAGTATGAAAGATAACTCTTATACAACTTCAAATAAGAAAAACTTGTAATTATAATCTAAAATGAATTTATGTTAGAACTGCATGATGTTATGTAGTGTCGGTTACTATATTAAGCACATATAACTTATTCTAGCCTTTGGACAGGTCAATCTATTCATTCTTCTTGACTCATATTTTGACCTTGTTAATTATTCACTTATCAACCTTGACTGTTTTTATATGAGCGTTTGTGTGTGTACATCTTATATATTCACCAGATGTTCGTAGCTTATTTTTGTGTGAGTATAAATATTAATTAATGCTAGATTGAATGGAGTTAGTTTACACACTTTCAACACTGAGCGACTTTTTGTTTCGCTTCCCTATCTCTTCTTCGCTTCAATCGCTGCGATTCTCTGATTGTCTGTTCTGATCAACGAATGTACAAAATATATCTATTCAAACATCCATTCTCGTGTTTGACTTATTTAATTCCGTTATACAGTAAAGCGACTTAAATCGATAATTATATACGAGGATAATCAGGTTGCATATTTTGACAACAATCATTCATGCGATATAACTGGAGTAAGATTCCGGGCCACTAAATTGGTGAGCCCTGTCGACAACATTGTTTGGTCTAATTGACTTCATTATGAAGGACCTCAGTAAAATTATTCAAAACGGTGGATTATTGAATAAATTGTTTTTATTACTATGATAGTAGAAGAAATGAAATAGGAGGAAGTTTTAATTGAAGTTCGTATATACCATTAAATTGTTATTCTATCGAACTAGGAGTATTCTTCAGTATGTAATACTAGTTATGTCAATTCATTCATATATTGAGCTCATTGTTAGAAATAGATAATCGTTTTCAACATAGATCTGCCGAATATCATTATGAGGCCCCTTATTTTTTATAAAAGGGATATCACGATAAGCATTATCACCATATACTAAGGCTAGACAATATGGCTTGTAAAATGGAATGTTGAAATCTGTAGATTTATGGAAAATAATACAATTAGTCTCTTCAATATAATTTACACATACACATGTTCATTCACTAATTAAATCCAGTCACTTAAATGAAATTAGGTTAAATGACAATTTATCAGCCAATCACAACTTAATAAGTCTAACTGTTACTAAGTAAACGTTTGGATATTATTTATAGCTTAATAAAAATACAAT